TTTTTTCAATGCACGCACGCATCGAAATATTGTAAGAGCTAAAAGTTTCGCTGCAGTGAGGCCGTGTTCACTTAATTCTATTCGTAAAGCACATGTAGATACAAACATACTGAATTTCGCTACAACGATGGATGCAAAAATAGTGTGGGGTTCTATGGACACGATATATACACGAGAACTAAACGTCGCTAATCGTGCGAACATAACATCTTACGTCCTGAAATGCTTCAGATCATCGCTACAGAATATCGAGTCTGCACATCGTTTAAAGAAATCTGTAATATTATCTCTATAAATTCACAATTTACATCACTATTTCTTATGATCCACCACCCAGCGTATTGATAAATATTGTGACATTGGCTAACTGAATTCGTAGAACTCAAAGAGTTGCAACACGTGCCAGATTATCTTCTCAGCCGCAGACCTTCGTTCGCTTGGTGATGTTTTCGAACGTCAGACCTCGAGAGCTCGCCGCCGATCGCACGTAAACAATCACATGCACGGCTGTTGCAATGCAGAGCACACGCAATGCAGGGCCTCAAGCTCGCCTACCATGAATCATTTTCACAAGAGGTCCTTGACATTCGCTCGCCAAGTCTCACATTCTACACAGTCTCCCTCTCTCCCTTGCCTCAACCGCCTCACTGCGACGCCGCCTCTTGAATCAGTTTCCGTGTAATGTCCTTCAAGGACGAATCACTTGCTTATTGTATTATGTATCGTGTGGTTTTATTAACATTGCGCCTCTATGACTTGATACTTTTTGGAAAATTATAACTCGTATTTTGTGAAAGTCATGGTGGTTATGCGCGTAGACTGGCGAACAAGTGCTCTATAGGACTCGCTTCCTGCATGCCCTGCTACTCAGGCCTCTGCCGCTTTCACTCGTCTACAGAGGACTGTCCCTTCTGTGTAATATCTTGTCTGCTCAACACCTCTTTTCTATCTTCAATCTTCCAGGCAAGACCAGCTCCCCCATATGACCGCAAAACGCTGTGAAGCTCCTCGTTCCATCCCAAACACTGCTCATTCTAAACGTCTACCGAGGTACATGCTCCGCTCTTTTTTCAGGCACTGATATGCCTAAACCTCTGCATGGCCGACGTTATTATTGTACATTATCTGTAGATTAGTGGGCATGACAAATAGCCTGTAAATGAGTGCGGGCGCTTGCAACTCTGTACGCTGTACCGAGCGAGTCAAGTTAGGTCTGTTGGTCCAGCTCTCTCCGGGTGGCAGCTAGGGCTGCTGCTTAACCTCGCAAAAACTTCCCGTTGCTTTCTGGCGAGGTTACATCGTTTTTTATAACCGGCTTTGTTTCTAAAATTATGTATGGCTTTCTGTTATTTTTAGCGCATTTTCTCATTTATGGAAAAATGCACTATTGTGCTCGCCTAGTCCGTCCGTCTGTCTGTCCGTCCGTCTGTCCGTGGCCTCAAGTTTTCGTCGACGAGAAAATGCGCTCTCTGTCACTCACTGCAGTGAGTACTGAATTACGGTATATTTTTTTGTACTTCGGATATGACTTTTATTGTTTTCCAAAATTAGCCTTAGAATTCTGTATAAATTTCAAGCTTTATTTAATGTTTATTGAAGGTTTGAGTACTTGTTTTGCACGGTGAAGTCGCAAAAATTATTCTGCATATTGACAAGAGTCGAAAGTGCCGGCGTAAAAACAGGTAAGCCTAACCTGTTTACATTTTTGTCATAATTTCATTGTAAGTGTTCATAGTTAAGCCATTATTTGAAGCGAATACACTGTTAGAAAAAAACGGTCCCATTGGCGTTCTAGTGGCCGGTCGCTCCGTGAAAATAAACTATTTAGCCGTTTTTATCAGATGCTTTGCGGATTTCTAGTGTTAAATTAGAATAAAAACGGCGACACGGTGTTTCTTTTCACGTGCTGACCGGCCACTGAAACGCCGGTAATACCGTGAACGGTAATTTTCTAACAGTGTACAATGCAATGTTTTATTATGTGTTTAATTAACACGCGTACGTAGTACGCATGAACGTGTTTTTATCTCTATCAACTTCAAACGAGAGCATACAACACGTCGCGAGAACCTGTTTTGAATGGCACAATCCTCGGGTCAAGTTCTGTTCTTCCCAGAATAGAGAGCGAGCTGCAACGAATCTACATTCAATCTCGCGTCAGTTTTCTAGCCAAACAAATTACTTCATGAATGTAAAAGGCTTATTTACGCGTTTATAATAAAGTTATTCGCGCAAGAATTAATTTTTTTTACTCTAATAGGAGGGACGATTCATCTAATGGAGATACCAAATCTTTAAAAATACCTTTATTGTTCACTTTTATTATAACGTTATCAGAACAATCCAGTTATGAGACTCAACTATTTATTTTTACTGTGGCATAAGCGAAGATGAACCTAATTGTGATATTAGTGAAATTTTGACTACATACAACGTACATTGTTGGCAGGTCTCGAACTTCATTTTAACACACGTGTGTTATGTTCTTATCCAGTTTTTTGTGGTTCTTCAGTGATAGTATCTCGGTCCTTATCGATGGCGTAACCTCCAACATATTTGATAACATAACATGGCTCGCTCCACCGCAAACAATGCATTCGCCGAGCCCACGCTTGTTTTTCTTCTTTTCCCTGCAGATGATTCATGCATGGAAACAGATAAGGTGTCGTTGTCGACTGATAAGGTATGGATACCTAAGTAACGTTTATCGATCAGCTGTGTTATTATTAAGTGTGCATCACGCACGTTTCACACGCGTACGTGGTTCGCGATGAGGTCGCATTTTATGATTTTTGAAAAATGTAATTTTTAGTTCAGCTCGTCGTGTTTTCTGTTATAGTTAAAATTCGTAGAAAGCTTTTTGTATATAATAAAAAATGAACCCCTTTTTAGCGCATTTTCTCTTTTATGGAAAAAATGCACTAGTGCGCTCGCCATGTCCTTCTGTCTGTCTGTCCGTCCGTCTGTCCGTGACCTCAAGTTTTCGTCGACGAAAAAATGCGCTCTCTGTCACTCACTGCAGTGAGTACTGAGTTATATTTTTTAAATTATTAATTGAACTATTTGGTCTGTGACTCGATGATTCAGCAAGGAGAATAAGTTCAACGAGGAGTTTATACGTCTCTTTCCAGACTTCTGTGGCATCAACTGCGTGCTATCAACACTAGTTCCTTTAACCAAAATCTTCGTAACGTCAGTAAATATGTCCTTCACCAATCACCATACTTGTGGATAACTTCCTGCTAGCAATAAATTGTCCCGTAATCCTGCATTAATGTCAAATTGCGTCGCAGACGAACGTATAACCAGCGTTATTGTAAAATTTATTCTCATGCGAACGTGCCATGCGCGTTCTGGTCACACTGCATCGCAGACGAACGCGTCTCGTGCGTCGTCAAATCGACGATCAGACGAAAGACACTCGTTTACGGTGTCGAGAAATTCGTCTGTGCCGGTTGCCAAGTCAGGAGGGAATAATTACTTAAAGAAACTCTGGTCAATCCCACGCTGCCTGCGTCGTGGCTTTGTCTGCACGACTGACTCGAGCTACTTTCTTGCGGTTCATCGTAACTTCATATGTAATAAATTAATCATTCATTACGAAAGAATGATTCATGTGTTTTACATGTGACTAAAATAAGGCACACGTAATTGGAGCCAAGGCGGATCAGAAGCTGTAAGTGGTACCGCAAACCAGAGCAGAAAGTGTCAAGTAAACCGGAATTATTAGATTGTTGAGTGAATGAATAATTTGTGTGGAATTTTAATTAATTTAGGTTTTGTGCGATTGGTTTCTTTTTCCTGAAATGTGCACAATCATTCAGAACCTGGACTGGTCGTGTCTTCCGTATTCATCATACTACGTGATTAGATAACTTATAAAGTTATACGCAATTTGCAGTCGACTCGTCAAATAAATGTTCTGAAGCGTCAACAATCTTATCTCTCATCGCCTTATTCGTCATTTAAGTTGATAACGTCTACGTCGTGCAGGGCTCAATTATATTCAGGGAGTTATCTCATTCTTCACTGTAATGTCTTGTATTGATAAGTAATTCCATAAACCGAAGCCTCGGAATGGACTTGAGGGCGTTAACTTTGTCTTCATTCGAGCACATGCGCTTGTGCCTATACAAGGGTCGAGGCATCACAACTGATCAAGGAATAAGTTCACACCTGTGCTTCGCGAGCAGCGTACTACATCAGCGCGGCCTACATAGCCACAATGCTGCTGTGCACACAGGAAATATGTCAATCAATCCGGCATAAATAGATTATGTGTAAACCTTACAAACAATATTTAACCGTACATTTAGAAGGAGGTCATTTGGTGTCGTCCTTAGCTCATATTGATTCTAGTGAACGATTTAATTTCACAATACTAAAGTCAATCAATTACATGTTACGCACTCGAAACCTTTCTTCGCCCGCTGCTCGTTGTGACAGGATGGACAGACTCGGGTATCAGAACAACATCGCTTTTCGTCGAAGACCGACAAGAGATTTTCCCATGTGTTATCAGCAGCGTCTGTTCAGAGTTCTCCTTGCTATATATATAGGATTGCAGAGTCCGTCTCATGACAACAGTAAACGAGTGTCTTTATCTAGAGAGGGTCGTAAATAATAATATGTCCTTAGGAAAGCCCACATTTGAACTTTCAAATCCTACCAGAAGATTAATTCACCGAATGGAGAATATCAATCAGAAAGTTATTAATAAGAAATATTGTGTGGTCTTAAACGAAAGTTGAGTTAATGAACAACTTCTGCCCAATTATACAAACCATCTATAGAAGTCTATGTACGGTCATGCTTTCAAATCGAACTCGTTATTCGTAAGCGCTCAGTTTAAAATTTCTTGTACAGATGATAAGCCATTGACACTGACCTTAAACTTTACTGGAAGCAATGCTTGGTTGAGAACGTGAGAAAACGAAGGATAACATCACAAGAATCTTAGAAATATTCTTAGTTCAGTCATTTCGGAGAAGAAAATGAGGTCTTGGAAAATCTTCTTTACTTATAAAAATATTTACAATCATGTTTATTAAGCTATGAGGTTCACTAAGGTCAGCTAAACACATGAGAGGGTAATTCATTGTACTAGTTCGGAACAAATCCGTCTACATGACATACGCCTACGCAGCATTAACACACGCGGCAGTGACATGCACAAACATGCTAACGTATTCTTACAACATGTCTGTTCACATGGAAATCTCTAACTCCGTTCGTAAGTACACAACCAATAACTTTTACATTAATATTACAGTGAGAATTTGAGATGTAGAACATGCCGACATATTTTCAACTGGAGAGAGTGGTAACAAACCATGAAATTGGTTATACAGCTTACACAACCTTTGATCCTACAATGCAATGTATGCATGAAAAACAATCTAAAGTAGAAACAAATAGCACATAATCACCACCTTAGTTTATCCCAGTGAAGCAAAACCAGCAATAAATTATTGAAATTAAATATTGTTAATCATCACTCATGCACTTCTTTCCTTTTAGACAAGATAATAGGAGAATTTTACCTACATTTGATAAATTAATGTCCAATTTAATAATCTAGTTTTGAATTCCATCTGTTGAAATACAATTGAATGCAAAACACAGAAAGTTCCTCTAAAATTTCACCCACAAAATTCATGCTATATCCTGTGCAATCTATTTCCAAAACTAAAACATTTTGATAATCACTATTACACTGGCAGGATGATTATCGCTAAAACCCTTATCACATAAATTAAAGAGCCTTATAAATTCTCAGAATCATTCCCAAGGAAAACAATGAAATAGCTTTGACTAAGTAAAGAATGTAAATAAAACAGTTGATTATTTTAACTCTTCATAGCAAATGACGGGAAACAATGAGACAATTTTGTAAAACAATGCAATAACAATCATGTGAAGTTGACAGAAAGAGAGCTGTTGATGAGATATGTTCTTAACTAGTTGTCATTGCCAAGCAAATGATAAATATAAAAATTTACAGTTATAAGATCAATTTATACTGATTATCAAGAACAAGCATTGGCAATGACACTAACAAAATTTTTTCAGGGACACCTTCAATGAAACCAAACATCACACTTGCTGCACATTTTCAAGAAGAAATAAGTGACAAAACTCAGAAAAGATTCATTGCAGAAACAACTAGTATGGACATTTAAGAATAATTAAGGAAATGAAAATTAACAATTCATTGGTGACTCAAAAATAAACTTAGAACATTGGTAAGAACTTATGGAATTTATATTAAATATTTAGACATGAGCATCAAGCATGAAAACATGTTGAATATACAAGTTGAAACAAAAAAAAAAATACAACAATTATATCAGATGATAGAAGATCTTTCCAGTTTCCAGGGATGAAAAAAAATTATACTAATTTACCCTTTAAACTGCACAGTTTGTACATCAGAGACTTAACATAAAAGCTTTGATTAATAGAACAAGAGTTGAAGTATTATATAGAAAATTGAGATCGGTCTATTGAAAAAATTGCAGCTCAAACCATATTAGCACTAAAGAAAGAAGAACAGTACATGATAAATTTATCAATTAACTATAATTGGATTTGAACAGCCAAGCCTATCTAGTTGACAATTTCACAAGACAGCTAGGAGGTTCAGATCACACAATGATTCTGGTTTGTTCAACAGAATAATTTATAAATTTCCAAAATAACTGCTTAACAATTATAATTTGATAAATCCAGTTTTATAGAATAGAAGAAAACTGCAGGCATGTTACAAGTACATAACTGAAAAAAGAAAAAAATGAAATTTTTAATTCACCCATAATTACATCAGATAATATCTATGCATTATAAAAATACTAGGAATAATAAATGCAAACCTATGTTTTGATTTTCAAGAGAACAGTTTGAACAAAAAAAAAATACAATTTAGACATAGCCTATAATTCAAATAAACTGATGTCTCGATGTTGATTCTGAATGCTTGGTTTCACAATTTCTAAAAAAATAATTACAACGCTATACTTCTAAATTAAAAGGATATGGAATTCTCTCTTCATCACTATCATAGAAAACAGAATTGGGCTTTTCTTTAGGTCGGAAATAATGATCATTGAGACGCCGCACAGCTTCTTTAATTAGGTCACCCTCTCGCAGCAGCTCCTGTAGCGCTTCGTATGGGTCATCCGTGACTGTTCGGGAGTTACTAGAGTTGTGAAGAACGCTCGTTAATCTTCCTGAATTGGTGACCTCGTCTCCATTATCGTTGCTGGCGTGGTTAGGATAGCGGTGCAAACACCGTCGACTGTCACAACAGCCACACTTGCTGCCTCGCGACGGAATGCTGTACGGCGAAGCACGTAACCGTATCTTCTCAGTGCAACTAGAATGGGATGGAGCCTTGGCTTTCACTCTCAGTTTTTCTTTAATTTGTGAAACTAAATCATCTAGGTCTTGCTGGGATGAAGCAGAAGATTGATTAGGGAAGAAGCACAAGGCGTCTTTACTCGGCATTATGAACGATAGTTTGAGCGTGGCGATTTCTGTCGTGCAACCACTCTCTAGGACCACTTCTTGGCTAATGCGGTCGATACCAGCTTTGTGGCGAACTGCAAGGTAGACTGTCGGGGGAGATGTAGAATAACATTACGCGGCAGAATCCAGTTTGATTTAATGCTCTTATTTCGAGAAATATTTAGATTGAAAATGAAAACTACTCAAAGTATTGAATGAAATATTTCATATTTGCGTCTGAATTTGTAATTTTTATAGAGAATAATCAGATAAATGCAAAAAAACTTACTATCGAAGAATGTAAATAGAGCGGAGTAATATACATCTGAAGCACCTAAACAAGTTTGACCTGTCGTGGTGAAACGATCTTCTATTTCCGAGAATCTTGTTCCTTGTTAATTAATAGCGTCAGTTTCGATATAATAACATTTTCAGCTCAAATTTAGTAAAAATCAATTCAAATTAGACCATCAAATCTGACAAATTAGGTATTTGCAATAGGGACAGAGTTATCCATTAATATCTCGTGGAGCCCTCTGCCTTTGTCTGTGTTGGCTGAGATGCTTCCAGACGCATTTAAAGGAGATAGTTCGAGACGAATGACGCGATGACAGAGGTATTGACGATTTAAATTTCGATGTCAAATTTAGCAACCTAATCTAGATCACACCATTTGAAGTTATAAGTAATCATTGCCAACTTAAAACTCATTTAGGCATTACGTATGTTACCACCTTAGAATTATTGTTTAACTTATCTCCACACATTAATTCATCTAACGATTACAGTTCGGATTCACGTTGCTTTAATAAAAGCTTTTGGTAATAAAAGCTTTGGGTAGTTTTCAGTGTTCTAAAATACTATTATGAACCAACTGTAGAAGATTATTTGTGATTTCAGTGTTTAATTTAAAAAATTTATGTGGCAGTAGGAATTGATAAATGTATACATGCCAGAGTTGACCTCAAGGACAATTTTGCAGCCGGTCGTTCGGCCGGTGAAATGAGTCCTTTCGATATCCGATAATACGAAGCTAATAAAATGCGCCGTTTATGTTTAAACTGTGCAATTATCTTGGGTCTTACGATTAAAAATAGGACTTAAATAAATCTGATAAATAGTTGTTCATGTTGTGATGTTCCTCCGTCCGGCCCCTAGGACTTTACATGGACACAGTTGCCTAAAATATATCCCAAACTATAATATCAGCTCGATGGAACTTTGCACATGTGTTCATTAGCAGCTAACAATGATGTCTAGGTTCCGAACTTTTTTCGGTTTTGCTTTCGTTTGCAACCATCTGTATGAAAAATTGCCCGAGACGTAGAATATTCACAGAGTGTCCAGAATATATATATTTTTAAACTAATTAACGGATTTGATGCAAAACTTTGTTGAATCAAAATCAAGACAAATAGAACAAGGACAAGGAATGATTATACAATGGTTGAACTAGTAGAACACGTCTCGGACAAATTCACGGCCGGACCCGCTCACCCGCCCCATGGCTGAACGTAATTAAGGTGCCTGTACACAGGGATAGTACTAGCCGCTAGTTCATCCGGCGCTTGAACTGTCCACGCTACCAGCCTCGTGTATAGGGGTTCAGCCGCTTCAGAGGCATGACCAGACGATATTCAATTATTCTTTGAAATATGAATCAAAGTGGAATGTTTGCCATGACGGTTACTCTAACAAAATGAAGAGAGAAACGAGTATTTTGAAACTGGAAGAAGACCTTATTAGTCAGGGTTTAGTTGTTCCCGACGTTGCATTTTTAATGGTTAGAATAAAGAGTATAAAAACGACGTACAGGCTCGAGTTGTTGAAGGTGATCCCACTATCCATCTTCGCAGACCTCACTTGACGGCTTCTAACGACGCACTGGCGGGCGCGAACGAGAAGATAACGGCACCTTCTACTCTCCTCGTGTGTACAGGCTTACTTTCCGGATAGTCACCAAGCGACCGTCACTATCCAGATTTACTAGCCGTCTGCACTATCCCTGTGTACAAGCACCTTAACGCACAGCCCGGACTCAATCGACAATTCTACGGACTCGCCTGAGGACTCGCGCAACTGCAGGGCCATTCATAATTCCTTAAATACTCAACGGATCTGTATGAATTTTGGAATATGAGTATTAATTATCGATACGCTGCCGCAGGAATTATTACAGATCTTTACATGACTTATTATTAGGTTAGGTTAGGTTAGGAAATAATTCATGCAAAAATCTGTAATAATTCCTGCGGCAGCGTATCGATAATTAATACTCACATTCCAAAATTCACACAGATCCGTTAAGTATTGAAGGAATTATGAGTGGCCCAGTTGCTTGAAAAATACGTTTATTGGTTTTAATCAAAAAATAATTCATGTAAAAATCTGTAATAATTCCTGCGGCAGCGTATCGATAATTAATACTCACATTCCAAAATTCATACAGAATCGCTGAGTATTTAAGGAATTATGAGTGGCCCAGTTGCGCGAGTCCGCAGGCGAGTCCGCTGGCGAGTCCGTAGAATTGTCGATCGAGTACAGCCCGGCAAGGGATTGTTTACGTTTCTCGATCTCAATGACGTCACAATAGAGATACACTGCAAGGTGGAACTTCTCGTGGGTCGGTCGACCTTATGTAGTTCTACTATGGATTAACCTAACAGGCTAACACATAGGTCTCTATGTGTTTTATAAAAAATTATTTTCGATAATAGAATTTTGGTACGGAATTTATGCGTTTTATTAATTTTTTTATTCGCAGAAATGAATGATATGTGATTGAACATTAATTACGTATGAAATCACGAATTCTTTGTTGAAATAACTCGGTGATTGCATATAATAATAGGAAAAATGCAAGAAAAATAAGTTGGATGCGATTCAAGAAGTTCCAACTTTTAGGTATAATTTTAGTGCGTATGAAAATACGCAGCTGGTAGTCACGTGAGCTGGGGTTTTTGTTTCTTCAAATTCTCTAGGCTAGGTTGCGGCAAAGTATTCCTTATGACTAATTTTTTCGTCAAAATGGGTTGCTGTTGTGGTAAAAATGAGGATGAAGATCGTCCTGTGAGTATGAATCGTGTGCATTTTGAATTTCCAACTTGTCGAAGAGTTATCGAGCTAGCCTGCTAGGACAGCTAGGTCACTTAGTGAATACTGAATACCTAGTGATTTTTGACAGTGGTAAATTATAAATGCTTAAAAATTAAATATTTCAGAATATCATGTCTCACTTGAGTTATTTCAACTTTTGTTCATTTCAGTATGAAGAAGCTGATGAAAGAACAAGACTGCTGGCTGACCCTGTCAGAAGAACATCTAATCCTGTCACATCCGAGTGAGTATGTGGTAGGGTAAACGCAGTATATTCCGACATCGTGGGTAATTCCGTCACCTCTCTAGTTTTTCCTTTATATTAAGCTTTGTTTTAGTTCCATGTGTTCGTTGATGGTTGAAATGGTGACGTCATACATTTGAGTCGAATATTGCCACACACAGTGAAGGAATATAGGGATTTGGTAGGTTTCCATTCTAAAGGCTTTTTAATAAATATGGCAACATTTTGTGACGTTTCATTGTTGCTGACGCGTAGTCCGGTGTTTTGTGAGTCACGTGAAGCCAACAGAAGTTACGTAACGCATACAGTTTTTTTATAGATTTTCATTTCTCAATGCGTCCTTAATGTGTCGGAATATACCGCGTTTACCCTAACCACTAACCAGCAAGTAGCCATAAGGCCCATAACCTAATTCTTCAAATGCCAATCTGGCAGGATTAAATCCAAATATTACATGGCAAGAATATTATTTTATGAATCATACTTGAAAATTGTACCTAAGCCAAAATATGCCATTGTAAAAATTTTTACTGAGCAAATTTGAAAAGGGCCATAGGAAATTAGGAATGGGTTAAAATAACATTGAAATTGACTATGAGCATGAGATTTTTTTTTAATTTACAGCCTTAAAGGTAGCTTTAAACTTTAAAGTGTATGGCCATTGGCCAATACTGAGGCTTGGACTGTAGATAGGAAAGGGATGATGCTTCTTTATTCAGTTCTTTCTTCAGTCTAAGTACTGAATGGAAATGAACACTATATAAATAACATTGTTACAAGTTATAAATATAAATGCAAAGTAATTAGCCTACTCTGAAAAAAGGATCTGGTGCAATGGACCAAAAAACTAGAAGTTAGAAAGAACTTGGATATTGTACATGATTGTAGTGTTCAAGGTGGTGACATTCATCTTTTGACCTAAATGTAATTCTTACTTTTATATTTAATTCTAATTCTAAATATTTTTATTTTATTGATTCAGAATCTTGAACATATATGCTATAGCTTCTGTCTGGTTTTCCACTTGTGGTAATATGCCAAACTGGAAAATTTGGCAAAATCCACTCATAAATAAGATTTATTGCTTTTAGAAAATTTCATCTGTTAATATGATGCTTGCCCAATTTCCTATATGAAAATAAAAATAAATATTTTTTTTTACATAAAAATTTTGAAAATTTGTCTCCAGTATTCCATAATGGTTAGTAGGTGCTAGTTTGCAAAATATTTTTTAGTGTCATACAACAAACGTGTCTGACAATTTTGAATATCAGGGAGAATTTTTCTAGAATTGCAGTTAGAAAGGATCATCTCACATAGAATTTTTTAAATATAGGTGAAAAAATTTCATTTTATAATTTTTCACAGAAGAAATCAGGAAAGAGCCATTGGAATGGGTGAAATTGGCCAGCTTCACTGGTGTTGTCTGATTTACAGATGGTTTCTGCCCAATTTTGTAGTTAGGTATTGCTGGTTTTCAAAAAGAATAAGCTTTTTTAGATAGAATAAAAGATAAATAAGAAAATAAAAAACTTTAGTGCAAGATGAAAACAGCTTTAATAGAATTGTAATAAATTTAATCTAACCTAGTTTTTCACAACTTTATGAAAGAAGTGTCTCCAATCTTTACAATGATGTTTCAATACTTTTCCATCACCATCCAATTCCTATTAATTAATAACCTAGTAACCATTTTTAATGCATTTAATTCTTTGTTCAGGGCTTCCAGCAGCTTGTACAAAGCTGGCTCTCCGCTCCAAAAAAGCGATGAGCATCAGGCTCTGTCTGCAATTCTGGATGAAACTGTCAGGTAATGTCCACATCAAATATCAATATAATCGACTCTAAAAATTGTATTTCATACTTGATTCACTCATTCATTTATGACTGGTAATACTTTTTTGCTCTCTTTCAATGATGAGAATGTATTTAATTGAGCAATAAATTCTTTACACACTATAAAATAAATCTATTATTTGAGTACACATAATAAAATTTTTGTCCTCTTCCAGAAATATCATTGATGTCTCTCAAATGGACAACACAGTCTCTGACCAGCATGACCATCTTGACCGTACTAAAAAGTACACTGAGCGGATTCAAAATTCAATGGTATGCTTGTTCAGATATTGTGATTGATTTGTTTGCAACTAAACTAATCATTAAAAATAATGGAACTGATGAGTTCTATCCAATTGATTGTTTACCAGTGCAATAGTGAAGATGCACAAATGATGGAAGTGGGTTTTTTTGCTGTCTTCAATCTCTTAAGCTGGTGTCTATATATTATTTTTGATAATAATAATTTTCAATGATTCATCTTTGCATTAGTGTTAATTCATTTCTAGTACATGTGCATGTACATATATATACCTATTCAAATTGATATCTAATACATGTGCATATGCTTTTATATATCAATGAAGTATCCACTTGTATTTTTTCTGACAATTGTATGTGTATGACAGCAAGCTGTGCCCACTCAACTCCCGTGCCTTGCTTTGAAAGACATTGCTAACGTGGAAAAAGCTTTGGCTGCTCCTTCACACTTTGTCTCAGACTATTCTATGGTGAGGCAATTAAGATTCTTCTTTTTCCATGAGAGGTTTTTAGTGTCACTTTAATACATGTGTTGACTATACCTTATTTTAAAAAGAATAGTTTCTTATCTCCCTTGTTAGTAATTATTATACATCATCTTTGGTGTTATCAAACTCGATTCTTGCATTAAAAAATGAGCTGTTTATTTGCTGTTGAAAAAAATGCGCTGTTTTATATTGAGCTGTTTGTAAGCAAAGAAAGAATTTTTACAAAAAAAAAATCATTATCTTATGTTACTAACTATAAATTGCTTAATACTGCTGAGCCTTGGTTGCAATTTGGTGCATAATTTTCTTTAGATCACTGCATCTATTATTAGTTTACATGTGAGCTGTGATATTCATAGTGTTTTACTTGCAGATGTTGCAGGCCTGCAATGCGTGTTCCTCTGCCGTAAAAAACATCTCAGTGCATCCGAGAGATGACCTCCTAGTAACGTTTGCTGTCCGGGCATGATGATTCCTGGAAAAAACTTCAACTTGAAAAAAAATATTATAGGTGATTGCATTCTTTTTGATAGGTACTATTTAACTTTTATTTCTGCAATAACTCATGCAAACGAAGATTCTATTTATCTTGAATAATAAGCATGCCACTACTTATTGTGAGCTAAAATTTAAACGTTGAGTAAAGCTGTAAATCCTGCTGAGGCAGAAGCACCCAAATTGTCTGAGGTACTTTTGTATGATATGAATAAAGTCAATCCTATCTTTAGTGGCCTATAAGGCAGGGAAAAATAATTTCTGTGGTTGTTTTGTACCTTGTTACTCATTTCAGGTATAGTGTTTACATTGTGTCATGATCAATTGCAAGAATTGTTGTATTCAAATGTTTAAATTTTCAATTTTCCTGCATGATGTGTCCAAACCATTTAAGCTTTAATGTGATAAATAGAAAGAAGTTTTGTGTCAAACAATTAGTACTTAAGGACAAAAAACCCCTCCTAGTTTGCGCTTCCTTTAAATGATGGTGATTGTTTAGTGAACCTACCATTGCTGCTCGCGTCTCTTCATCTTTGTTCATTGGTTGGCTTCATGGCAGGTGCTTTGTAACTTTCCAGAATCTCTGCTTTTAGCCGCAGGTGTACGAGTTGAATTAGTGAAAAGATTGAATATTTTATTGCTACCACTAAAATTTGTAAAACTATTGTCAAAATTTACAGTTAACTACATTGTTTACTACCTATACTGTTTGTAGCAGGTAAATTTTACCATCCTAGCAGCCTTCGAAATTCTTCATAAAGTTTAAATTTTCTCATACATTATCCAGTTATTAAATTTTTGTATGCTTCTCTCATCATTGTTATGTGCTTCGTATTGAATTTATATTTTCTGTGTCTGTCTAACGTTTTTTTAATGGCCGTTTTCACGTCGCTGTACATAAAGTTCTAGTGTTGAGGATCGACGATGTGTGCGTGGCAGTGTTATTGGATCATAATAAATGTTTTGCAGTTTTTACTGATCACTGTTCAGTTGTAATAGACCGAATTCTTGTGAAAGTTGTGAGACAACGCTAGAAAACTGAGTACTCTTCATCTGAAGATTGAAAATATTTTCATTCGATTATTTTAAGTTCCATTAAACTGAAGACAATAATTTGCGATAAGAATGTATTTTGAATAATTTTCAATCGCAATGTAATGAGACGTGTGCCATGAAGTTGACTGTATTGTTCAGTTTATTTTCTAATAGAAGACTGATTATTGTTTGTTAGTCTATATATTCAAATTAGTGAGTCATTTTTTTATATCTGGCTGGAATCTCTGATGCTTACTCCTGTGCAGTTGGGTATTTTTTAAATTCGGCTGCAGAACAAGACATGATTCTGCCGCTTCAAAGCGCTTTTCTCTAGCTGGGTTGAAGCGCCTTAAAATATTCCGATTTCGATCTAGAGATGTTAGATAGAATTATGTGCAAAGAAAGAAACTAACGATTGAAATTACTATTTTCATTTGATGGGTTTGTAAGCTTCTAATCTACGCAGAGCTTTTTTGTAATTTTTATTTCAAGATATATTGGCGCTATCGTCAATAATTCGTGTAAGTTTGCAATTCTGCATCCATCCATTATTCTCATTAGAACCTAAAATCCTATACTTCATACGTGATCGTCGATACTGACTCCTTCGTCTCATCTTTTTTTTTTTTTTTGACGAGATTGAAATACTGCAGGTTCAATGTAACTCCATTCACTTTTATCATTTTAAAAGCGAAGGCGATAGGTATTGATTTTATGTTGGCCATTTACATCGGTCGTTGTGGTTCCATATCTTGTGCTACATCCTATGAGATGGTAATGGCTGTGTAAGTTTTAAGTAGGCTGACGATGTGAGAACTAAGTTGACAAACAAATAAACTTGTGAATTGTCAACTAATTATCAATTTTACTCTTGCCGAATGGGAACTTCATCGAAAGAAAAGTGACGTCAACACGAAGTTGATCCTGAATGCTGGTAATATGTGGTTACTGAAACTGAATGGACAAATGCACTGAGATAAACGGCAGGGTTGGTTCTTAGCCAGCCTACTTGCTGCTCTCTAGCTTTTGATATTAATATTTACTGACCTCTGTTGCCGCTTCCGGTCCTTTTTGCGCTATCAGTAAGGGATGCCGGTAGTTAGTGCGGCGTCTCCACGTTGCTGGCAATGGGAAGGATGCAATATTAGTAAGGGCATACACGAGTCCGTCAATAATAGTGAAATGGTAATTGATGTGTGCAACACTGATATGATAGAGCCCTATTTTGATTGCATAGCTTGTTACTGATGCGAGCGATGGCGTCTTCTCGCCATCTCCCAAGTGGCATGAGGTATATTATAGGAATATTTTTCTCCAAGGAATAGTTTACTCTCACAGTCACTCTGTTAGCATCATCTATTCAATACAGGTGTTGTTGAAGACCAGAGCATCATTCTTATTAACAAATTAATTATGGTTCTTCTCAATTTGTCAAATTAGACTTTTTGTAGGCCTTAAAAGTTTGAATATGAAGTTTCCTCCACGAGGAAAGTTTCACGTGGCCTCAAATCCTACAAATAATCTACTTCGTCAAATCGAGATGAACAAGACTTGTTAATAATTGCGCCGTGATGTTCGAGCAAACCTGTGTTAAGGAACTACACAAGCCCAAATACACCAATATTAGCACTCTTATCTATTTCTGAACAATACAGTGAAGAGCGCAGTGCTTCCTGTGTCAGCTTCGACAACTAAACGTTCAAAATCATCTTGCTGCTTAACTTTTCTCTTCTGGCCTTCACTGTATGTTCTCCCTTCTGGCTCTTTCCACTTTGCTTCGCAATTTATTATTTTTGGTTCGCCAGTGTATACAAGGAACTGCCGCGACACAGCTACTTGTGAAAATTTCATTCTTCTGGAGACCTTGTTCGTAAATAATTTTTTTCTACCTTATTCCTCAATAGTTGGTCCTTGCGCTTCTCTCAATTGTTGATAAAATGTTTCAGAAAAATGAGATCAAAGCAACGCAATGCCCGAATCATCTTCACATTATTGGTTGTTGTGAGCGTCCAAAAATCAATTGTTGGTCGTTTAAGATAAATTTTCATTTACAGATCAACGTGGAAAAGTATGAAATTTTTTATTGAAATATCCTTCTCATGAGTACAGTAAAACTGAATTAGATACAATACAAGAATGAATGGACGATACGCATCATGAAAACTTTGATGCTGTTAAATACAATACTTCTTAAATTAAAGCACTGCGATAATATTGGAAAATTTACGCTTTAGAAAGACCGATTTGAAATTTAACCTCATGGCAACGTTGTGGTGCAGCGTCGTTTCCCTTAATTTGCTCGACCAGCGAAACGAGTTCAAAACGTATTCGACCAGCGTCGTTTCCCTTTCCCCATACCGTGGTCGAGACGAACACCTTTTCAAGATATTCAGCATCCAGGAACCGATGTTCCTTCGTTGCTGAATGTTTAGCTCACAATCCTCGGCCATGTGATGACGGGTACTGTACACTCTCAACCCTCTGTTGACATCAGAATAACCCTCTCGACCCTCTGTTGACATCAGAATAACGCTCTCGACCCTCTGTTGACATCAGAATAACGCTCTCGACCCTCTGTTGACATCTAAATAGCGCTCTCCTCCCACTGTTAACATTAGAGTACAATATACATAGAAGTGTCGGCACTGAAGAAAAAGGGCTCGTGGCGGAGTCTAACCAAGAGGACGCTGCTTGCTTGATCGTGCGTGCTTCATAGGGCGGCAAGGTCGTCACTGAAAACAAGTACCAACACTGGAAGTGTGCGGTACTAAAAAAACATTCGGCGTCTCTTGTACTTTTCAAAATAGTGCATTAATGCAGCGAGGTTGATGAGACACGGTGAGTTGGGAATTGTTTGATCGTCTAGTATACATACATATTCGATATGGGGTGACCTGGTCTAGCGAATAACAAAAATAGATTGATCCGGGCATTAGCACGTGTTCGCTCGTTTGATATTTTAAGGTTGGTTCAATGAAACCGAGATTCTAATTAATCAAAGTTCCCTATATTCCATAGAACTTGGGGTTTGAAAAACAAATTCACTCAATTACTCGTTAGACATTTTTCTGAACTTCATAAATTTCGTTCGAATCTGGTCTGTAGTTTGGAAGAAATTTCTTGACCACTGCGAATTTTGGCCCATATCGCCATATAACTCACGAATGGTGGCGAAAATCAAAATTTTTTTCATGAGCTAAACAATACCGTTAGGTTCTAATGAATGCTTGAACCAAGTTTCATCGAGTTGAGTTCATTAGTTTGGGAGATATTCCTTGATCATTGAGTTTTTAGAATCTAAATTTACGGGACGACTGAAATAACCCAGCATTGCCCAATACCAGCATAATTTTCATACTTCACCCCGTGCGTAAGCATGCTGCAGAGCAAATTAGCCAACATGATTACTTGATAAGGTGATGCGACAGTCAGGTGCGGGGCCGTTCCCATTTACGGCAGTCTGGTGCGGTCTGCGGACCCTGTGGCTTACGGCATTTGTAAGAAGTGAAGGTATGGGCTTAAATCATTGGTGTAGGAGCTATTGGGCGTAATCAGTTTGGAGTATCAGCTTGTGGGCTGAGGCATTGCTTGTTTCAAGCTGGTGTGGCGAGATGAGGCAAGTAAGAACAGCTGCATATGTGTTAGGCTGACTATTTCTATTGCATGTAGAGGGTTGTCATTGGCTCTTGGGCTGATTTAAGAGTCAAATTTTTGGGCTACGGCAGCGCTCCCAAATTTAAGGCAGCGAGTCCGGCCGTTATCATTGAATCTAAATTTACGGCCGCGAGTACGACCGTAAATTTAGCCATGACGTAAACCCAGGAGAACCTAAAAAACACCCATATCTGGGTGAAAAATCCTTCGCTGGGAGTCATGTGCTGCACGTGTTCTGTACAAATTTATCGTCAAACAAACTTTGGAACTTCGGACTGCCACCTCCCTACGACCCCTTCCTTCCCCATCTTCCCCCTAGATCTTTCCAGCGCCCCCAGGTGGGCGGCACCGCCCACTTTGGGAACCACTGGTCTAGTCTAACCTCTTATATTGCAGGTGCATTCGTGCTAGGTGACAACTTACGTAGTTACTACTCGAAAAAAAGTCTTAAGAGAAATTGGTTATTAAGTGCTCAGTAATTATGGTTATCAGTTCCAAGCACTCTCAACGTTTAGGTTGAGAAATCTTTTCTTCGTGAAAGCATTTATTTTTCTACGCGGCCAAGAGATTGCAAGTGACTGCATCTCTCAGCAGCGTATCATAGAGTCGGTAGATGTAAATTAGTCGTTTGAGTTTAGAAAATAATCGTTCCGCAACAGAAGGCATTGAAACACAAATCCTACTTTGCTTTCATGCGAAAACTGCCCAAATTTCCAAAAAGCCAGAAAACCGTATATGTTTACGATTATTTATTTGCAGTAAATTAAATTCTCGACTAATTAACTAAACGCTCCGTTCTTCTGGAACATAAAAAAGGCCCATGAGATGACCTAAAGGCAGGGTGGCCCAGTGGTTAAAGTTCAGAGTACCAAGATTGACGCACTATAGAGAGGCGCGGGTTCGATCCCAGCTCTGTGCGCCAGTTTCTGGTCAGAATCGGCAAGGAGGCCGGGCGGTTAAGCACAGCAGAATTGTAGCAGCGACTTGTGAGTTCGAGACCGCAAAATGCTGTGAATGTTCTGCGATGTTAAGAATCGGCGACATGCCTACGGCCTACTAAACGCTGAAACCGCTATTATTATTATTATTATTATATTATTATAATAACTTTGAAATCCATAGTACTGAAGAATTTCACTCAATATGATGTAATATTTAAAAAATTGAATGGAAAACTTTATTTTGGATTTATTTATAGAGAAGTTCTACCGCAAAATCGTGTAAATGAATTCGAGAATCGAGATTTAATCCTTCGATAACATTTGACTCGTACATGTTTCCTCAACAATCGTAATACTATTTATTTGAATCAATTTTACAATACTTATGCCTTTTATTTGAGAGCAGTAATCAATAAGCTATAGGCACTTATAGGCATGCCTGCAAATATGTTTGGTGCTATAAGGTGAGCTATGTCATCACAGTTAACATAAGAAATAATTGCTCAAAAACGCATCCACTACTCAAATTAATGAATTTTGATTAGAAATTGCCGTGAAATACGAATTTTCTTTGAATTTATTGAGAAAACTAATTCGAGGGAAGCTAAACAAAATATATGAAACGCTGACCCTTGTGCGGTAAATCATTAAGATAAAATCAACAACGACCATCCCCGGGATGAAAATAAAAAATTATAAGTTTGAATGATTTAATTTGAGTCTTGTTTCAATGGGTGAGCCCTATAATTTTATACATCAGCAAACGTTGTCACTCTAATAAGCATAATGATTATCAGCCGCCATAACTGAGTGCAAGCTGGTATAATGCAAGCTCACTAAGAAAACATGGCAGTTGATATTGCCGAAATACACTCTCCTAACCATCTCCGCCTGACATGAGTAACCGGAACAATATTGTCACAAGCCTACTTCACGAAAAAGATACGTTCTAGTGAGCGTAAATTGACTTCAAATGTTTGCCGCCACGTACGACAACTTTGCAATGTTCTCTGTTGCGTGCAAACGTCCTCAGGTTGTTACACCCAATAGTTTACGTATAATTTAGGTTGAAAGTTATGTTCCTGGAGAGTGACATACGGCGGGAGAGGGTTAAGTTCGGAGGAGCTGGGCTCTGCGAATTGTGGAGCGTTATTCGTTTTTAGTTACTCTTCAATGTATTCACTTGTCATCTGTATTTATGAATCCCAATTTTTATAACATTATTCTAGGTTGAATAATTCCAAATTATGGTATAAA